CCTGCCGCCGCGATCGGCGCCGCCGTGGGCCGTTTCTCCAAGTCCTCGGGGCAGGATCCCGGCACCTCGACGCGGCCAGGGTAGCGCAGCGGCGCGTCAACTGCGAGCGGTCCCGGGTTTCACAGCGGCGGGCCGTTGTGTATGCGTGAAGCGACGCTCGACGTGCAGGGTAGCGATAACAAGAATGCAGGACGTGTGTCACTGTAATACGAGTGCTGTGCCATCCCATCCTGGTGCCCTACACAGCCTTGAACTCCCGACCTGACATCTCGCTGTCGCCTCAAGCCCCGCACCCGGCCCACACAATGCCCACCCCATTTTTGGGCGTCGCGAGCGCGCCCCATCATCCAACCGCACGATGCGAACTGGCAGCCCAGCCACAGCGACTGACGTGCATCCGCAACCCCAAGGATCCCCCGGCCACGCGCCCACGTCCCCACTGCCAACGACACAGGCCCATCCTCGAAGCTTCGCCACACCCGCGCGGGGGGCTCAACCGCCAGGCCCGCCGCCCCACCTTCCTCCGCCACTGCAAAGTGGTCTTCGTACTCCTCGTCGGTGCTGCTGAACGACGCGCGCGGGGGCTCCAGATAGTCAAACCACTGCTGCCCCCGCACCCCGCCCATGCCGTCCCTGCCATAGGCAAAGCACGCGCCCCATCCCTCCGCCGACAGCCGGACCGCGGGGCCGACAGCGTTCGCCCAGCTATCTGCTGCTGCCGAGTCGCCCCACCTATTTGTGAAGGGGGGGCCGGGGGTCGCGCAGGCACTGCTCAGTCCCGAGTCTCACGGCCTGTGGGAGGCAAGGCGGCTGTTGTGTTTCATGCTGTCGTGGCTCCACATGCTGCAATATTGACCATAGTTGCTCTGGTGGTGGCTACCCATTCTCAGGAGGCACCAGGGCATTATTTTCAGGTCGGCGCACCAGGGCATGTCATTGGGCTGGAATATGGAGGGCCGCGCTTCGTACATCGTCGGGACTGCAGACACCTGGGTCATAGGAGCGCGGCAGCAATGACGACAACCAGCACTTGGCGTGGTCACATTTTGCACGCACAAGGTTGCCGCCAGGAACGCAGCGCGTGCGCACAGACATAACACATGGCTCGCCACACGAGTGGGGTGCTTCTGCCTTGACCAGCGACACGTGGGCGTCAGCATGGTTCACATGCGAAAACAGTACAGGCACTGTTGCTCACACCTTGTAGATTCTGTGCCTCCATGTGCAATACGTGCTACCAGACCCGCTGCCCTCGCACACAACGCGGTCGGCGGCGTGGGCGCCAGCAGCACCTGCGCTGGCAGCAGCATTCGCCAGCAGTGCCAGAAGCAATGTGCTGCTGGCAGGCACATGCAGTCGCCACCGGCGGTGCTGGATATTATTGAAAAGCTGCATTATTTCTCACTGGGAGCTGCGTTAACTAGCTCTTTGCGTTCCAGGGGGCGAAAAGCATGCAGGGCGGTGCCTGAGGTCCGCCACGAACCACGCGAGACAAGGGATGTCCGAGAAAAGCACTGACAATACGTTGGCTCGTATGAACGCATCCGGACTGCATGAATGCCGTGTAACCGGAAAAGTAACTTGACGTGACGCGAGGGGTGCGTGCGCGCTCTGCGTGTGAGGTGCAATACAAAGCAGGAGACCAGGCACGGCTGAGCGGATCGGCAGACTTCGGCGGGGTGAAGTAGGTTTTGCAAATTGTGCGGGACGGAATTTTTGAACTCAGCCGCCGGGTAGTGCACGCATGGACAACCGGACCCATTTACAGCCAACGGCGGTGGCGCGTAATTAGCAGTGACACAAGAGACATCATCGAAGAAGTGTTAAACTGGGCTGCATACGCACACATCCAGATCGTGCTGCCATCCGTGCTATCGGTAATCCCTGACTGTTCGTCACCTGGCTGTGGCCGCCTTGGGCACACAGCATCTAACTATTCTGGGCACTCGTATATATTCTCGGCACTCGGCTTTTGATGCCTAAGTTACTCTGTGGTATTTAACCCACAGCGCTTTGCCACACAACTAGTCAACCTGCGAATACTTGTGCTCGTGGCTCCAGCTCTTGAGAGTTCTCCCTTTGCAGTGTGAATCTCAACAAGAAGTGTGCATAAGATAACTCACTGAAGTCGCATGCACGCGGTGAGGAGCACGCCAATCCCCTGTGATGACTGGAGGAGGAGCCCGCCACCGCGCACACCCACATTGCAAATGTGGCATGCAGCGGAATGCACAAAGCAAGTGGGCCCGCATGCCCGCCCGCACCAGCTCGTTGTCACACTCCTGCCCTTACTAAAAGGTATCAAAAAAGTAACCCGCAGGCCCTAGCCAGATTCGAACTGGCGTTACCAGATTCAGAGTCTGGGGTGATAACCACTACACTATAGAGCCGAAACGCA